GCGCCACCTGTAACTTATGGCTATGTGGTCAATTTGGGTCCATCGCTGACCAGCTACAGGTGGACGCCAAGTGGCACTTCGGCGCCCATTGTGTATAAAAGCAGTGCTAGTAAGAAACAACTGGTGCTCCGCACACAGTTGCAGCAGACGCTCGCCGTTGTCAGTCCGTTCGGAGTTAAGTCCATACTTACCACCCAGCTGAGCTTCTGAAGAGTTCAGACGCCCTACTTGTGCGTTCATATCCCCTGCAAGTACTATAATATCTGAACTAGTAGCACTGCGTAGCAGGGCATTCAGTTCGTGATAGAAAGTGTCCTTGACTGCATTAGAACTGCAGTCCGTGGGAACATAAGCGGAAATCAGAAACAAACAGCGTTTTGTTTTACTTCGCGAATTCACCTTAGCTGATGTCGTCAAACGGGCTGCACATAAACGGCTGTTCACCGGAATCCAATCAACCAGCGATGACTCAGCCTGGGAGCTGAGAATGATACCTACACCAGCTTGACCCGTGAGTGCCGCATCGGCGTCTCCGGATGCGTGTAACCAATAACGAGAGGATAAGCCGGGTGCAGTCAATTCAATAACCCCGTTAGGGTAATTAATCCTAGTTTCGGACACACAACACACCTCAACACCCAGTGTGTCCAAGGTGCGTGCGAGTGCAGCCTGCTGACCTGTTTGTCTTAGAGTGCGGACGTTGAATGTCGCCATGGAAACGGGATGGCGTGGCCTTATAAGGAACTTTTGCCGATAGACGTCCGATAGGTGCTGTGGGATGGTGGCTGCAGATGGTTCTACTCCAGTAGCACTTCGGTTGCTGTCAATTAAGCTGGGAATTATAGAAGGAAAGTTAGTAATGGGGGCCGGGATGGGAGTAAGAGAAAAAGGTGGAAAAGAAAGAAGGGAGGCGCCAGCAGTAGCATACTTTCGCTTATCCGCCCTGCTGTATGCAGCAGATAAGGCGACCCTTGATAATCTGCGTGACGGCCGATGCAGGATGAAGTTTATGTTTGAAGAAAATGTCATGGTTGTATGTGGGCTGGGATACTGCCAGGGCGCCCAGACCTAGACAGGAGAACGATTAGGGTCCTCATCCAAAGCCGTTGGCTCAAAAGCCTGTCCGCAAGGCAGCGGGGTGGCAGTGAATTAGTTTTACAGAAATGGACGCCATCCCATTTACAAACCCCCAACCTGGAGGACCAGGAGACTGAGTTTGTCTGACCTCTCACCATTGCCCAATCTGGTAGGAGTAGCTCTCAACATGGTCGGAGGCATCACCCAGTATAGCTCAATGGGTCAATGAGGTACGCAAACCGTCGCACCACGTTAAGGTCCAGTCTCGTTGCGACGGATATGAAGTCAGTTGGTTAGCACTGAATCCGCGATAAGGAAAAATTGTCCACAAGTTACTCAAAACATGCTACAGACGCAATACTGTTAACGAAGATAACCACAATTAGCGTAAGCAACGTGGCCGGTTAATAGAAGGTTAGTCAAGTAGGTAGAACAAACCAACTAAATGGAGTGAAATTTATCCAGCTTAAAATGACCTAGTTTAATTGTAAGTTGGTTTAGCCCAACTGCGGTGAAGTTGCAACAGGAATGCAACATCAATATAAATTACTAAGGTTGTGGAGGTAAGGAAGCAAGTTCGGCCGTATTTCGGATATCCGCATAGCTTGTCTTAGTTCTTCAGATCGTCCTTCAGACCAGTTTTGCAACCTAATTCTGCAGGAGTTGGCCTGGTTGGCTTGGATGGGTGTGGTCCGTTCTACTCCTCTGTATGCTTTGAGTAGCCTCTTGACATACTTTTATCAAAAGCGGTTGGTTCGCTAGAGCGGTAAATTGCACTTATGTTAAAATGTTCGGTTTCGATAACACACAAACACAGAAGAGAGACTTAGGTGCCAAGGAACCCAGGCATTTTTGTGTCTGATACAGTCTCAGAATGCATCGAACCGCAGGTGTGGATTTTAATATGTCTATGAAATTGTATTCCTTACGGCGAACATGCAAGAAGATTTCTGCAAGCCTACCCAGTGAAACCAGGTCAGACTACCTTGTGCGTGTATACTCTGCATGAAAAACCTACCGAATTAGCATTGCGCTACTTTTAGACAGTGCCAGTGGTGGTTAGGCCGGTCCGTAAGCTTAAGGAGGACAAGCCCGCTTTGTAATCCGAGGGCGCGTCTTCATCATCATCCTCATCATCATCATCAACAGCAGTACATCAGCCATTTGAACTGATGCTTCGATGCCATACAACCATAAGGAACTATGAAATAAAGAATGAGAAGAGGGAGAAAGAGGGGGGCTGCTTCGCACCTGTGTAGGGACCGGACGATCCACGCAATATCTCTGTGTGCAACTGTTGACGGCGTCGTGGTAGCGAAGCGCCGGTACGCACCGGCGCACTACTGATGCATTATTAAGTCAGTGAAAACGTCGGGCAACAGCGACTCAAAAGACCTAGTCAAAGTGCCTATATGGATGGTACACGAAAGTTGCTGTAGCGCGACCTAGACGGGGTGCATCAGCTGACAGCTCTGCGCCTACCATAATGCAACATTCACTGATATGATGTGTTATCCATGCGATGCCACTGTGTGCATCGCTACATGTTGGCGAGCATCTACTGTGGAGCCATTTATTCATGAATAGACATGGCGTAATGCTTCGAAGTACTTTTTACTGTACTGGGCGAAAAACCCCATGGAAACCTGGCCAAAAGCGTGTCTGACTCTTAAGAACCTTGTTAGGACACTGAGACATTTGCTTTCCCGAAAGTACCCAACTTCGGTGCCCTTCCTCACAGCAAGTAGAGAGTTCGAACCTAGTCGTCATAGTCAAAACACAATGTCGCATCTTGAAATCAAGCTTAACATCGGGATGTAAAGTAGGGAACTGGAACGTGTCACCTTCCATATGAACAGAGGTTGATGTCTCTGGGGTTATTCGGCGGACGCTATCGTTGGATGCGAGGCAACCTGGTCATAACCTACTTGATCCTGCCTATCCCGCATAATATGGATGTTTCTTTCCTAGAGCACGTCAATAACTCCAATTTGTGGGGCTAACTCGGAAACTGACAGAATAGCAAGGCTTATAGGATCTCGTATGCTTTGCCCTGGAAGGAATTTCCCTAAACATACATTTATCTACCCACACCATCCATGTAAAAAGTGACTGCATGATGCACATAACCATCTGCATTTCACGGAGTAGACTGGGCTCTTCTTTTGTTTCAGGAACAGGAACCACTCGTTTGGTCACCGTCTGCCCACGGGTTGCGATACCCTTATATCGCCCTGCTGCCTTGTAGGTTAGATCCTTGATCAAAGGCTCGGGGTAGGGCCCCTAAGACAACCCTCTACTTCGGCCTGGGCAACTGGGTAGTATCTCGCCCACTGACGAACCATGGAACAGAGCATGGTGTCTACTAGCAGACATTAAGCCAGAATATGAAACAAGGTGGAGAGTCGATTTAGCGCATCACAAAGCGCGGTAGAAGGTCCCTGGATTGCTGCTAGTATGTGTACTTCAGCCTCTTCGTTTAGTTACATAAGAACTCCCCAGACAATCAAACGGAACTTGCTAAAGTTGAGCTTTGTTATCCGTAAAGTCGCAGTTCAATGGCAATTTCATGGGTAGGGATGGAAGAACTCGCTTCCAAGTTCATAAACCGTTTGAAGGGTATTCGCGATCTTATTATCGTGGTGATCATCGGGAAGCAACTTAATATGACTCTCCGACATCCCACTTAAATGTTACTAACTAACAGAAAGGATGCCCTGTTTCGCGGTAAGTTTAGGACGGGTGTTTAATAATTTTCTACATTTCGACGCCTGCTAACTTTACCTGATGAGATGTAATCACATCGAAACACGTTATAGTAGTTCGGTGTTTTTGGGCGGACAACACCCATTTTCCATTTGCATCTGTTACAATACACTTGACCGATAATCCTAAGTTCACTTCACTGGAAATCGCGGTCAACATTGCGATTGCCCGTCGCAATCCATCCACACAACGTGTACTTCAAAATCACCCTCAACATCGTTCATTAAACCGTTGTGCCAAGCGTTGTACGTCGTGACCCAGTGGTTTCGGGAGAGCGGTCGCAAATAACATCATAATGGTGCCGCGTTCGATGGCTGCTAACTCTATCTGATGAGATGTTATAACATCGAAACGCGTCATAGTAGTGCAATGTTTTCGGGCGGGCAACACCCAATTTCCACTGGCATCAGCTCGGGTTCTCGTGATCGAAAGACTAAGGTTCACTTCACTGGGAATCGCAGTCAACATTGAGATTGTGCGTCGCAATCCGTCCACACAACGTGTACTTCGGCATGATCGTCAACATCAATAAACCGTTTTGTTAGTCGTTGTCTGCTGTATCCTTTTGGCTTAGGGGTAACGTTCACAACTAACATCCTAAAGCTCGCGGCTTCGATGCCTCCTATCTCTTTCTGATGAGTTGTATTCTCATGCAAACTCGTCATAGTAGTGCAGTGTTTTCTGACGGGCAACACCCAATTTCTACTATACAATCCTGTTTTAACAGCATTTGTTAGAGTAAGAACTCAATTGCACTCCTTTTTATACTTCGTGGTAAGGAGTACTTAGGCACAGTTTTGCTCACTGTCAACGGTGAAATAGTAAACAGAGAGTATTTCCGTTCAGAATGGCAATTAAGTAGGCGAAAGTACGACTTAGTCAAAAGCCACTTGGCAACTAATGAAACCTCCTATCCTAGTAAACAGATGGTGTTATCCTAAATAACGTTTGGTTCAACTGTGAACAAGTGTGCCATTGAAAGAATTGGGGATCGATTATCAATTGGTTCCATACCATAAGGAAACTAGTAACGAATCAGAGCAACCCGGATGCCACAGCTCATATCTCTTACCTCTCGTAGACTGATAAAGATTTCGAAGAGAAAAGAAATTATTACTTAATCACATAAGAATCAATCGCATCGCTCATAAACCCACCTGTCTCGCCTGTTTTTGTTCTCTCTTGGTTAAATTCGGACTCTTCGCTGAGGCGCTCGATTTTGTGTGCCTTCCATCGTGGAATTAATTTATTCTCCTCGTCACCTGGTAACTTCTCCTCTTCTTTCTGTTGTATAAAAGTAATTAAAATATTTTCAAAGCAATTCTTGAGCGTACTGAGCTAACCGTGGAGAAAGGTCAAGTATATTGTTTCAGAAAAGTAATCGGGGAAATTGAATGGTATAGGTAAAAATTCGCCACATCTAAACTCACTCATACATGCAGCACATGCCAAGAAAGGCACCGTACGGCCGTTTCACCCCTTCGGGCGTCGTCAGCAGTGCGCATTCCATCCGACCCTTGTGAGGCTCGAACCCAGGCGTGTGATGGCTGTTTGAGTGAGTCTAGATGTGACGAATTTCTACCTATACTGTTTCAGCTACACTAATGGATACTAACGCATTTGATTGGCACCTGTATCTTGTAACCGATTACTTGGTAAACTGATTGCGAATTCTGATCACTTGCTCTTCCCCGGCGCATCGTGCGCTACGCTTCTACCTGATTTCTCCCACCTTTTCTCCATCCATTATTGTTTTTCACTGTACATGATGGGTCCAACTGCTTTTACTGTTTTCGGTACTCATGTACTTGACACGATTCTTACTTGTCATCGCCTGTGACTAATGTCTGAGGAGTATCCCCCAGGAACTATCATTAATATGACCTGTTCTGGTCACCGTTAATAGTTAAGCTTGAGCACTAACTGCCGAACTAATAACAAGCAAATATCATTCCATATGATATGGCTGAGGCGCAGCCATAATACCAATCTCAGAGGTAACCCGCTGAAGTTGTGTGCACAGTTTAGCTGCCTGGAATGCCGGCGGAATTATGCTTCTCTTCGAGTTTGCCAACCTTGGAACTCTCCTAAAATTCGTTGTTTCCTCCCCCACGTTGGATATTTTCAAAAATCGATTGGATGTTGCCCTTGGCCCTCATCACTTCCTTGCCTAAACTTTGCAACTTTGGAATATATTAATTATCCCTCCAGACCGGATTAGCATGTTATGTAAACCTGAAGATGCAGGACAGTAGTGAGTATTCTTGCTGTTACTTTGCACGTGTAATACATCAACTATAAATGTCCCCACGTTGCCACCTCGTTCACATTCAATTCCTACTTAGACTACTAATATTCAGCAGCGTATCTGCTAGATAAACGCTTAAATAGACAACTCATCTATCGTTTGATAATTGTAGTTTTACCCCCACCATCCTGTGGGACTTGTCAAGCTATTGCTTTTTACCCGCCATAAATCATTGTTAATTGTTCATGGAATCCTTATCGGACCCCATACAAGTCGAGTGTGGTTTGCCGCAAGGCTCAATTCTAGGTCCACGTTTGTTTTTGGTGTTTATTAATGACCTTGCACAGGGAATCGCTTCAAACTTCCTAATGTTTGCCAACGATATCAAGATCTGGCGAAGGATCCAGGCGAACGCCGACCAAAATGTGCTTCAGAGTGATTTAGATACGGTGTATAAGTGGTCGACCCAAAACATATTGCATTTCAACGTCAGTAAATGCAAGGTGCTTTCCCTCCGACATCAAAGCAGCTACTCATACCGACTCGGAACGGGTGTACTGCGACAATCAACTCTCGAAGGTGACTTGGGTGTCCTGGTTCTAGATGACTTGACTTGCTCCAGTCAATCCGAAAAGGCCTCAAAGACCGGGAACCAACACGTCGGGCTGTTGAGACGGATGTTTGGACAAATAAACAACTCCATATTCCGACAAATGCTCCGTTCGTACGTTCGCCCCCATGTCGAATCCGCAATTGAAGCCTGGCATCCGTGGCTGAAACACGACCTTAACGCACTGGAACAGCCACGACAGCGGACATTTAAGAACGTAAATGGAATGCGCAATGCTTCATACGAACAGAGGCTGCAACGATTGAGGGTGTTCAGTGGAAACCATCGCAGACTAAGAGGCATACTTGATGCTGCGAGACCCACATCAAGTGTGCCGTCCTTTACTGCAACTCAGCAGCAATACAAACCTGAGGGGCCACTTATTAAAACTCGCAGTACAATACAGTCGTCTGGAGTGCCGCAGAAATTCCTTTTCCATTTGTGTCTGTCAACCGTGGAATGCTCTCCCAGAATCGGTCGTCTCTGCACCGACACTAACAGTATTTAAAAGACGGTTGGATGATGCACTCAACCACTTACACTTTGTTACTTAGCACTACGTCTGCATCCTACACCTGGCGTTTACCCTGGAATTATTTGTTGTTAACTGTGGATGCTGTGAATTTAAGAGGATCGCTGGACTGCAGTGAAGCAAGCGATAAGTCCTTGTTTTCATATTTAAAGTATTAACTATTCTAATATCCTTATCATCATTATTGTTACGTTCATATCCCCACGAACTATCGAACGGGACTTGTCAATCGATGCTTCTTAACCCGTATAACTCCATTGTTCATTGGATCGCATACGCGGTTGTGCACAGAGAATTACTAACACGGTATCATGCTGCACACTAAACTTTGTCGGATTTTAAACCACTTTGGCAATGTAACTGACAGGTGTTTACTTTGATATCGAAAGATTTGACCGCAGACAACACAAGTGAGCTTACAAAGCTCTCGCTTGGTACGACGAGTGAAAACATATATTAATCATTTAGAACATCCTGCTTAACACGCCATGATGTGCTTTCGGATGAATTATTTTTACGCGCATTTCATCAGGGTGTTTCGGGTAATCACGCAGGTCAGTTAGATATCTGCGTTCACTATGAGCTGTATGACGTTCAACTGGTTATTATGTGACGCCTTTGGTGTGGCCGGATTTTGCATCTTAGTATTTCATACAGAAGACTGCCCATGTAACGAATCACCTCTGATGCAGCGTGCGGTCAATCGAATGTCTTGACGGACGAAAAATGATGGTATAAAGAACAACAGCCTAATACTGACCGAGGCCGGAGTACTCGAAGAAAAAGTGCAACCAGAAAAGTATCATAACATTTACGGTATTCGTTTTCGAGTTTGTGATTACTGCCACTAAGAATGCAGAAAGAACTAATAGGTGTTGCCATTGTTGTGGGTTTGATCTCTTTTGGAGTAGAAGCTGGGGATAATTAGCACATTTTTGAACTGAGCGTTGACCTCGCTATGGAAAAAACTCAGACTTTATTCTAGGTTGTCGAAGCTACTCTCGGTATTCGATAAGCGAATCGACGCACAGACGTTTGCAACAGCTTCGAAAGAGCTCAGACCTTCTAGGCAATAGCATACGGAAGAAACCAGGTGGATAATGGGGAGATGTTGGTTGAGTGCACTCGTCAGGTATACAAGTGAAGGCCTGAAAGCTGTCCACAATGTAAACGTTGAATTTGACAACCCTTTCAAAGCGCAAGCTTCATGAACTCATTTTGAAATATGAAAAACTGTTATAAAACATGTGAAAAGGCGAATCCTAACAAGTCCTATAGGATGGCATGGGTGGTATACACCAGCTCAAAGAAAACAATTGTCAAGAATATAGACCGCGCACCTGTGGGTATAACATGATATACACATAAACACAACTGTAAGCGCGTATACTTCAATTTTATGAAGTGATCATAACAAACGTGGTTCATACCACGCAATATACAAAATAATCATGATACTAATGTACAGAAATTGGGTTTCGATAGTCATTTTAAAGTGCACGTTGCGTGAAGGGATCAGATAGATTTGGCAGGCATCGAAGCCGAGACCATGGGGATGTTAGTTGTGAACGCTACCACTAAGACACCGGGTCACGACGGGCAGCGCTTGGCATAACCGTTTAATGAACGATGTCCAGGGTCCTTTTGAAGTACACGTTGTGTGGATGGATTGCGACGCGCAATCTCAAGTTTGCCCGCGATTCTCATTGAAGTGAACTTATGATTATCGATCACGCGTATTGAAGCAGATGCAAATGGAAATTGGATGTTGCTCGCCCGAAAACACTGCACTACTATGACGCGTTTCGATGTTATAACATCTCATCAGATAGAGTTAGCAGCCATCGAAAGCGGGACAACCATGATGTTAGTTGCGACCGCTCTCCCGAAGCCACCGGGTCACGACGTACAACGCTTGGCACAACGGTTTAATGAACGATGTTGAGGGTGATTTTGAAGTACACGTTGTGTGGATGGATTGCGACGAGTAATCTCAATGCTAACCGCGATTCGCACTGAAATGAATATTAAGCATTCGATCACGAGGACCGTAGCTGAAGCTGCTGGGAATTTGGTGTTGCCTGCCTGACAAAACTGCGCACCATTACACCTTTTGAGCTTGTTTGCTCTCATCAGGTGAAGATGGCAGGCGTCGAACCCGGGACCATTGTGATGTATATTTTCGAGTTCTGGTGACATGCCTTTTTCGGCATGATCAACTTTACAACCGTTTCCTTTGATTGATTGGAGGGTCACTTTGAAGTACTCTTTTGTGATTGGATTGTCACTCGCAATCTCTATATGGACCGTGATTCGCATTGAAGCAAACTTCGACTAATTCTATCACTCGGACCGTAGCTGAAATGTATGGTCATTGGGTATCCCACGCCCTTCCAAAAGAAATACTGCAGTCCGCTATGCCTTTCGATCTTGTGCGACCTCATCAGGTAGAGATTGCAGACCACGAACCCGAGAATATTGGATGTTAGTTAGGACCTCAGTTCTTTTTGTCTGCTACCTCTACATGATGGGCTCAAACCTGATTGAAACATGGTGAAATGCATTTTTTTCGGGCGGGAAACACGCATTGTCCATAGGCTTCAGATGATATTCACAGTATAGTCCGATTAGTAGATAGAATTTGGAATCATCTTTCATCAGTGGTAGTTTCCCAGCTAAAAGCATCAGAGGGGTGTAGTATATCACAACGCCTAGTTCAGTCAGGTTTGACGCAGAAAAGACAGATTGGCAGAGCACTTTATGGCTGAAAAATTCAGAGGGTGCAATTTAACCAATAATACAACTGGGTGCCTTGTGCTGCCAGAATCAGTTGGTGCCCTCTGGTTTGGCTTCCTCGATAAGTTTCTAGAGGTGGTACTGAACTGGGCCAAAAT